AGAGAGAGAGAGAGAGAGAGAGAGAGAGAGAGAGAGAGAGAGAGAGAGAGAGGGAGAAAAGCCAGGCACTTTCCTGTAAACTAGAGTCAGAGGTAGGATGATGGTTACAAGTTTGAGACTAGCCTGGTTGACATAGCAAATTCCAGCCCATCCCAGTTCAGCCCAGCAAGATTCTGTCTCCAAAAAAGAAAAAGAAGGGGGAAGGGGAGTGCAATCCCTTGGGAAAGGGGTTGGAGAGGGTGGCCCAGTGGTAGTATGCTTGACTAGAATGTGCACAGCCCTGAGTTTGGTCCCCAGCATTGAAAAAGACACACGCTAGGTTAGATAATAACCACCCCTTTTGTGGGGGGAACATTTGTGTATTTAGGGTGTCAGGGCAACATGTGCCTTCATCCAGAGCTTGCCAAGGATAGAGTCGGAGACAGCTGCCAAAGTTCTGGGAGAGAAGGAGAGAGTGACTGCAGGTTTCAGGGCCAGACCCTGGTAAGTAGTATCTTAGGCCCCATGGGGCCGTGTGGGTGGCAGGTTAGCGACACCCTGCTGTGAAAATGACTTCTAAATCTAGCTGCCTCTGCCAGCCACCCAGCCTTCTGAAGGAGGGCACAGCCGCCCCTTCCGTGGAACCGCCCCCTTGATCAGGCGAAAGGACAACAGATAAGGAGGACTGCTCTGTTGAGGGCAACAGATCTTAGGTTAACAGGGGACCCCATGGCTCTCCCAACAGCCAAGTTCTTCCTGGAAGCATTGTGTGCCCCAGAACTCTGTTGTGCTTGTGCTTGATAAGGCATTAGGGGAGCCAGGAGCCCTGCCCTTTTCAGACTTGGGAGAGCTCTGTGGTGTCCTGAGCCCCCCCCCAATGGGTGAGGAACCCGAGGCACAAGCTGTAACTGGGACATTAAAGAGATCCTCCATGTGGATGTGCTCGCAGGAGAGGAAAGCTGCCCAGTGCAGGGTCCTGGGATGCGGGCATAGACTGTCCATTGAGGACAGGGTAGTGTTCACTCGCTAATTACTCATTTGTCCGATTGCCAATTAACCGTGTGTGCTAGGGACATCGAGGAGACTCAGGCATACCTTCTACCTCTGGGGAGCTCACATGTGCACTACATTGGGAGCAATGGAGGAAATATTACCGTGGTGCCTGTGCACGGACAGCATTCAGATTTGTGAGTCCTTCGGTACTTTATGTAAAGAAGTCAGAGGAGGGCAGGACAGCACAGAGAGGACAGCTCCTGGACTTGGATGTACAGGGAATGGGATACATCCACGAATGCCACTGGGAGACAAGTCTCCAAGGGTGCACATCTAGAGGGAATTTTAAGCTAGGGGTGTTCCTGCCTCTGCATGGCATGCCATGGGGTAGGCTCCCTTCATTGAACTGCCTTGAATTAACTAGGATACACAAAGTTATCTTGTGGATGGATGCTCCATCCATCCATCCATCCATCCAGTCATCCATTCATCCATCCATCCATCCATCCATCCATCCACCCATCCAGTCATCTGTCCATCCAATCATCCATCCAGTCATCCATCCATCCATCCATCCATCCATCCACCCACTCACCCATCCAGTCATCCATTCATCCATCCATTCACCCATTCATTCACCCAGTCATCCACCCATCCACCCACTCATCCATCCATCCACTCATCCATCCATCTACCCATCCACCCACTCACCCATCCATTTATCTAATCATCCATCCACCTACCCATCCATCTGTCTGCCTGTCCATTCATCCACCCACCCATCTATGAATCCATCCACCCACCCACCCATCCATCTGTCTGCCTGTCCATCCATCCATCCATCCGCCCATCCATCCATCCATCCATCCATCCATCCATCCATCCATCCTATGCATGCCTCTATCCATGCATCCTACCTATGCACTTACTGATCTATCCACAACTCACCCATCATTCATCCGAGTGCCTCTCCATATCCATCTATCCATGCATCTATTTCTTCATCCGTGAATCCACTTATTCATCATTTGATGAGGGCATATGATGTCCCTATCCAGTGATGAAAAGGATGGCAAAACGAAAGACACCTGGCCTGTGTCCTCAGGCAGGTGGAAGGCTAGTCTACTGCGTACATGGGGAGCCAGCAAAGCATTTCCAGAACTCAGACAGACAAGGTCACTCTGCCAAGGGAAAGCTGAAGAGGGATGCTTGAGGTAGTTCTCATCAAGACAATGAGGAAAGAGAATGTGAGAAGACATGTTCCACAAGGAACAAGGCCCTGGAGAAGAAAGAGGAACTGGTCACGAAGAGGTTACTGAAGGCAAAGATAAAGTATTTGACCTTCACTAGGAGCAGAAACATACACCTGTAGTCCCAGTTACATGGGGGGGGGGCAGGGCGGGAGCTGTGGGTGTGGAATCCCTTGAGCCCAGGAATTCCAAGCCAACATGGGAAAAGCACTGAGGCTCTGCCTCTGGCTAAAGAAACACGGGAGCTTTTGTGAGAGAAATTGAAAGAACGTTGACAGGTAG